AAAATCATCACTTGATAGGAGTGACACTTTCTCCATCAGAAAGGACAAAAGAGGCCGGGTGTGGTGGCTCATTCTTGTAATCCTACCACTTTGGGAGGCCGAGGCAGGTGGATCGCCTGAGGTCAGCAGTTCGAGACAAGTCTGGCCAACATGGTGAAACCCCATCTCTATTAAAAATACAAAAATTAATCAGACATGGTGGCGCTAGCCCGTAATCCCAGCTACTTGGGAGGCTGAGGCAGGAGAATCACTTGAACCCGGGAGGCAGAGGTTGCAGTGGCCAAGATTGCACTACTGCACTCCAGCCTGGGCAACAGGAGTGAAACTCCGTCAGAAAAAAGAAAAGAAACTAAGATATGTACAGGTGTGGGTAGTTTTTTTGCTGTGGTGGTGGTAAAACGGGGAGTTCTTACTGATGGGGTCATTTTCTTAATTGTGAGATCATCAGGTGAGAGAGAAAATAGAAGAAGGTGTATGGGAAGTTTGTGAAGAAAGGAAGTGTAAGGGTTATTGCTGAGTTTAAAATGAGGAAACTGAGGCCAGTATAAGAAAATTAAATGCCAGTTTATTCAGCTTCAGGGCAAGGTTCTATGGTCCGGAGAAAGGGACCAGAGAAGTCTCGCTGACTTCCTGGGGGGTGGGGCGGGGGTTTATGGCTAGGAGGAATGAGCAACAGCTGGGTGCTCTGATTGGGTCCAGGGGAGTGGGATTGAGATGGGGCGGGCTGCTATTGGTTGGCGGATTGTTGGGCAGGTTTTCCAGTGCGAGAGCCGGCCAGGGTTGCATTAGCCGGAGCTTTCCAAGGGAGCCATGCGGCAGATCTAGGTGCTGAGTGCAGAGCCTGGTGCCCGGTGCAGAGTCAGGTGCTGAGTGCAGAGGTTGGTGTGTCCAGCCTCCCGGCTAGGCAACCGGCCTTATAGGAAGGTAAGAAATAGCCATTTTAGAGTGTTGGAAAATGAGCCTATGTTCATTTGAAATTGGTGTTAGTCTGTTTTGACCTACAAAAATGGCAATTTCATATGGTTTGATCCAGTACTTTTGAAACATGGCAAATTTTTATTAGTTTGGAATCTCCCGAATTCAACATTTGTTATTCTGAAGTTTATGTTTTGGAATCATTAAAAACATTAATAATGCAAAAGAAAGTCATTATCTAGATATACTTTTGGGGGAAATGGTTAGACTACTCGTGGTTCCTTCATGACTTAAGATATTAATTAGGAGGCTTTAATGTGCTAGGCTCGTAGGATCTAATGGTGAGCCAGATAGATGCAGTTTCTGCTTTTGTGACACTTTAGTGGGGGAAGGCAGACAGCTAAGCTATTTGATCACATTTTACAACTCCCTGTGTGACAAGGGCCAAGCAGAATTTCAGGGTGGCATGGGAGCATCCCTCAGAAGCATCTAACCTGGTGACAGGTTAGGGCCTGGGCAGGCTTCTCAAAATGTTTTCTTAAAACTTAAGACCTGGAGGATGCAAAATAGCCCAGTAGGAGGTAGAGGAAGACAGTTCTAGGGAAAGAGTGTGAATAAAAGCCTATAGGTGAGAAGAGGTATCACAAATCTGAAGAAATGGGATCGCGTTAAGAAAGCTGCAGCAGAATATGCTTGAAGAAGAGGCAGAAGAGGGAGGTTGAGTCCAAATTATGAAGAGCTTTATCTGCTTTTCGCAAACGTTTTGGATCTTATCCTAAGAGTAACAGGAAGCCAGTGAAGGATTTTAAGATAATACAGTATTTTGCAAACATGTTTGCAGCATCCTTTTAAATGTAATTACTAATGTCAGAAAAATAATTGCATGTTTTTCAAAGGTCACCTAGAAAAAAACTCATTTATCAGCACACTAATAGGATCAAATACTTGGAAGTAAAGTATTATCTTTTAAAAATGTCATCAAAATGAAGCCTTGTGGCCTTTTAAATTAAATCAATTTCAAGATCAGGATAGTCTTTCTTCCAAAACCATGGTGGCTAATTTTAAAAGTAAAATTGTATTTGTAATATTTTTAGACTTTTTTTTGCTATTGTTTTGAGACATATTCTTACCTTTTTAAAAATAGGAAATATAATGATAAACTATTAAATTTTCATTGGCAGAAGAGGTAGAAAGACTGGAAAGAGACCTAGAAAAAAAGATGATAGAAACTGAAGAGCTTAAGAAAAATCAAACAAGGTTCCTTGAGGAAATCAAAAATCAAGATAAATTGAATAAATCATTGAAAGAGGAGGCCATGTTACAGAAACAGAGCTGTGAGGAACTCAAGAGTGACTTAAACACAAAAAATGAATTGGTAAGTTCATATTTTACATTGCTTTGGCTGTATTCTCTTAAGACAGATAATTCTTTTTGCCTTTGGGTCTAAAAATACAACTTCCTGACCATATAATGGGGAAGATGTGGTTTAACGAAATATGTGTGAAAGGCTTATGAATTGTAGTTGACTGATATGGCTTCCCAAAAGACTAATGCTATCTTGGGCTGCATTATGTACTCCTAGACGTTTTTATTTTTTAAAAGCAACATTGTAGGCGAGGCTATTCATTGGGAAAAACATTTAGAAGGCAATTTGAAAAAATTATCCAAATTTTCATGAATTATAGGTCTTTTTGGACATGGAATCCATCTTTTATTACTAAGATTAAAAAAAACTCGTAATTTCTATATGTTGATTCCCTGGTGCATGTTAGCCCATTGAAAACCTTGGCAAAATGTCAGACCTGAAGACTTTCCACTATCCTAAAACGATGAATTGTAGTTGCCTAGTTTTCTCTTTTGCTTATTTATAATGTTACTGATATGTTTGTGCTGTGAAAACATGTTTTGTAAACTGTCAGAAGTTTTTCCTTTTTTTTCTGTACCTATTTTTGCTAGAAGTCAGAGTGTGCTCTTCTCTGTGTCATTATGCTATTTTTATCATTAACCGTTTAGAAACACATTTATGCCAGGCACCATCACTCATGCCTTTAATCCCAACATTTTAGGAGGCTGAGGTGGGATGATCACTTGAGGTTGGGAATTCAGCATGAGCCTGGGCAACATAATGAGACCCTGTCTCTGCAAAAATAAGATAAAAACACATTTATATTCAAAATTAATGTATGTTCATTATAACACATTTAGACAACACAACAGTATTTAGCAAAAATGAAAGTGCCCTCTTCCCTATCCCATTCCCCAGATGTTAATTTTTGTTTTCTATGCTTCTTATACAGTATACATGTAATTATATAATGTATATGTCAGTAAGTACATTATACCTTTGAATATTTTTGTAATTAAAAAAAGGAATATCACTATATGTAATCATTCTCCTGTATCTGTGGGGGATTGGTTCCAGGACACCCCCATGGATACCAAAATCCACGGATGTGCAAGTCCTTTATGTAAAATGGTGTAGTATTTGCAAGTAACCTATGTACATCCTCTAGTATACTTTAAAATCATTGCTAGATTACTTATAACACCTAAATCATATTATGTTGTTTATGGAATAATAATTAAGAAAAAATATCTGTACATGTTCAATACAGATGCAGCCATCCTTTCAAAAAAAGAATTTTTAATCTGTGATTGATTGAATCCACAGATGCAGAACTCACATATATGGAGGGTCGACTGTATATTATTGTTAACCGTCTTACCTTTCACAAAACAGCATACATGGAAAGCTCTCCAAGTTAAAAAAGAAATGTATATATGTATATATAAAGTTTTCTCATTCTTTTTAAAGTCTGTGTTGTGTTCCATTAAATGTATTTGTCATAGTTTAGTTAACCTATTCCTACTGATAGATATTTAGGTACTTTCACTATTTTTGCTGTTAGAGACAGTACCACAGAGAAAATCTTTGTGTGTGTGTGTGTCTATATACACACAAAGATTTGTATACATTCATACTAGTATTTCTTTAGCATAAACCACTAGAAGTGGAATTACTGTGTAATTTGCATTTAAAACTTTGATAAATGTTAATGCATACTTCAAAAAGCTTCTAAGCAATTTACATTTCCACAGCAGAGAAGAAAATACCCAATTTCCAACTGGGTATTGTTATTTTGAATTTGTACATATGGTAGAAAAAATGGAATCTTGTTTTAGTTTTGAATTTTTATAACTGTTGGAGAGTTGATATTGCATATATATTTATTGGCTATTTTGTATTTCTTCTTTAAATTGCCAGTTCATATTGGTTTTGCCTATTCTGTTAGTCCCAAGGACTGTTAGATGCCTAAAATAATTCTGGGTCTTATTCTAAGAGCTGACATTTGAAAAACATTTTTATTATTTTTTGCAGAATATCTAGTGAGAATATCGTCTGCTATGATGTGATGTTTTCTGGTTTAAAAAAGTAATTGCTTATGCGTTAGGCCAGTTAATGTATAAAAGAAAAGTAGCACAGAAGTAAGTCTTCTGGTGGCCGTTTAAACCATAGTAGTCCTGTCCTGCCACCAACAAATGTTAACCAAGCTTACTCTTTGTCCTTTTGCAAATTATTTAATTATTTGCAAATTATTTATTATTTACTCTTTGTCCTTTTGCAAATTATTTAATTATTTGCAAATTATTTATTATTTACTCTTTGTCCTTTTGCAAATTATTTACTTATTTGCAAATTATTTATTATTTACTCTTTGTCCTTTTGAAAATTAATTATTTGCAAATTATTTATTGTGCTTCAGTTTGGTTATATTTAAAATGAGGATTATTTACTTGTCCTGCTAGCCTCACAGAATTGTGAGGATTTAATGAGGTAATGAGTGTGAAAATAATTTGAAGTGAATCAAGTGAAGTAACAGAAGATAGTAAATCTGTACCTCAGAATGACAATAAAATATGTCCATGTAAGAATACTGCCAGTACTAAAAGCCATATCTTCCTATGGTAAGTAGTCAGTAAAGAGCAACTTTATTATTACAATTTAACTCTCCAGGTGAACAGTATCTGTTTGCTTCTTCTTTTAGCCCTTGTCTCGGTTTCTTGCAGGACCTTTTCTGCCGATTCTTTATTCTTCCTTGAAGGTAGTTCTTCCAGGCCTGAACTGCACATTATGTTTTTCAGGGTTTGCATGCTAACTTGTATTAATATGCTTGCTTACATTTTAAGTTTTGAAACTGGCTTGCCTTCTTGGGAAATGTGTGTTGTGTGTATGTATTTGTTTTTTAATGAATGTTTGTATAGGAGAGCAAATTTGAATGTGGGGGAAAGAATTATTTTTCTGATTGGTAAATATGTTACCTGCAGTCAACTATTGATTATCCACAGCTAATACTGTAACTAGCCTACTTTCCAGTTCATTTGACTTCTATTTTGCTTTTATTCATGCATTTCTTCAACAGACATTTATTGAGTGCTTATTGTATGCTAAGCCTAGGGCTTATAAAAGACACAAAAAGGCCAGGCACAGTGGTTCACGTCTGTAATCCCAGCACTTTGGGAGGCCAAGGTGGGCAGATCACTGGAGGTCAGAGTTCAAGACCAGCCTGGCCAACATGGTAAAACCTCGTCTCTACTAAAAATACAAAAAATTAGCTGGATATGGTGGCATGCGCCTGCAATCCCAGCTACGCGGAAGGCTGAGGCAGGAGAATTACTTGAACTGGCAGGCAGAGTTTTCAGTGAGCCAAGATTGTTCCGTTGCACTCCAGCCTGGGCAACAAGAGTGAAACTCTGTCTCAAAAAAAAAAAAAAAAAAAAAAAAAANAAAAAGACACAAAAGTAAAGTACTTTGAAATGCACAGTTTATTTCTTATTATTTACCTGGTCTATTTCTTATTATTTGCCTGCAGACCAGTTCATATATTCTCTCTGATTCTAGTCACATTTGCCATTTGTTTGCCACTATTGCCAATGACTTTTGAGGAGAGAACCCAAGATTAGTTGACAGTGTTGACTGTGAGTTGCTTTCTTGAGACTCGGAGACTTATGAGCATTCAGTGAAAGTATCTATGTGGGTATTGTGTTGGACACCCTGCAGCAGGACATCAAAGGCAGCATGAACAATAGACAGTGTCGGATTCAAAATCAGGAGACTTGGAATTGAATTCTGCCTCTTCCACTACCAGCTGTGCAATTGGGCAAGTTATTTAACTTCTCTGTGCAGCTTTTATCATCTTATTGGGTAGTTGTGAAGATTCAGTACAATAGCATATGTCAAATGCTTAGCACAATGTCTGGCACACATTGACTATTTGGCTCAGTGTTTCCTGTTATCTAGGCTATGACTTCCATTTTGATGGATAATCAGGAGGTGACTGTGAGCTAAATCATGCATGACTTTGATTTCCTGGGCCTTGTAAAATGTTTGTGTTTATGTTTTATTCTCTTCTGCTTGCATTTTTATATTAATGAAATTTTTCTGCTTGTTTTTTCTTTGATATCTACTATCAGACACTGGCCAAAAAAAGACAAAAATCACTTAGTGGATCTTTGAAATAAACTCAAAGTTTGGTTTAGTGGAAAAAGGCTGGTACTAGTAGTTAGCTAATAAAATATTTAGCTTCTGATGCTAATTTAATATGTAACTTTTGACAAGTCAGTTCACCAACCTGAGACTTAATTTCTTTATAAATTCAGAGAATTAGATTGAATCACTTATCTTCTCCAAGCTCCAAAAATTTCTAAGAATAAAAAGTTATAGTAGAATTGCCTTATTAAAATTGAATATTACATACTTGGATCTGATTGAGCTTATTCACATCCTAATGTCCTCAACACTGAAAACTGAGATGCTATTAGCCACAAATACTACAGCAACAACAGTATGACAATTAAAACCAAGCTCTATTTTCATCCTTCTCATTCCTCTTTATTTCTCTGCAGTTAATGCCAGTTACCATTTTCCCTCATAATTTGAAGCTATTGTTAAAGTCGGAAAGTCAGTTAAAGAAATTAGTGCTAATTTTTGGGAAGTCAGGAAGCAGATATTTATTAGGCCAGTTATGCAAAAATAATTGATACAAAGATGTTTTTCTGTTTAGCTAAAACAAATTTAAGTGATTTTAAAAATAATTATTCATTATATTCTGAAATAGCATACAAACTTCAAAGGTCTTTTATATGATCTCTTATGAAATGATAATTTTGTGTTTCATTTTTTATAATTTAGAAGATAAAATGTTCTGAGTGTTGTGCAGCTTTGAGAACTTGCTGTATCATTACACCTTTATACTAACTTACTGATCCTATATGTTGTCTCATATCAAATTGGGCCAATAGCTAAAACAGAAGACCATAGAACTAACACGAGCATGTCAGAAGCAATATGAGCTGGAACAGGAATTGGCCTTCTATAAAATTGATGCTAAATTTGAGCCACTAAATTATTATTCATCAGAGGTGAGTTATTTAAATTTTTTAGTAATCCACAGGTAAAGTCCACATGGGGTAGAGTAGGGGAGGGCAGGTGGTGAGGACATGTAAGGGATTTCATCAGTAATCACTCCACTTTCTTGTTATGAGAGGAGTAAAGTGTATTTTGGTTGAATCTATGAATTATTTGGCTCAGAGAGTTAGAACAGTATCCTAAAGAGGTAAAAAACTTAAAAAGAATCTGCCCATAGCCATATCCATTACCAAAAGGAGTTGTCTAACTCTTAGCTGTCTTTCCCAAGTGTATGGGTTGATCAGCTCCCTTAAATTTAGACTTCTGGGAAAAGTGCTTCAGTACCAGGGAATAGTCATCTCCTTACATGGTTTGTTCATTAATCACTGGGTTCGGTATTAGTCAATCATGACTGGTACAAATGCCACAAGGGAAATGCCAAACTTCTAAGACCCAGTGATTCCAACCCATATCATGTATTTCATTTTTAAAAATTCAGTGATTAATGTTTATTATACTGATGGTTACATACATGTATCTGAAAAAAAAATTAGACTGAGATTTTACATATATCTGCCAAGAAACCAAAATAAAACACCCAGATTTCTAATTTGAGAGATCAAGCAGTGCTAAAAATCACATAACTACAGGCAGTTGTTAATCAGTCCAAACTTTCACTCTTCAGTGGTAGGAGGAAGAATTTTTTTTGAGACCATTTTTAGTCTGATTTCCTTTTTGGTATATTAAGAAGAAGTTGAAAGAATACCATATATTTTTTAGTTTCTAGGCATGTAGGATTTACGTAAACTTGAGAAATTCTGTGATATGTTTGCCACTAGTAAAATGAGTAATGTTGTTTGACTGCTTGGAGGTCACTTATTAAACCGTAAATCTATTATTTTGCTTTTAGTATGCTGAAGTTGATAAAGCCCCAGATGAAAGCCCTTACATTGGCAAATCCAGATACAAGAGAAATATGTTTGCCACAGAGAGTTACATTATTGATAATGCTCAGGTAGTACAGATCAAGAAGATGGAGCCAGATGAACAACTTAGAAATGATCACGTGAACTTGATAGGCCATGCACCACTGGACCTGCAACTGGAAGACAAAGGAAAAAAAATAATTGCAGGTTAAAATTATTTTAAATTCTTTAAAAATATAAAAACATAGAATATGTAAGCCAATTTTGTTTTATAACTCTTTTAATTAAACATGCTGATGATGCTGTTGTTTCCATGAAAAGTCTAAAACAAAAGTAGTGATTATCAAACAGATTTATCGAACGTTTATTTTGTAATGATTCCTGTTATGGTTAAGAATGGAGTTTTTGGCAGTAATTAGATGGCAACATGTCCAGGGGATTCAAGAATGAGTAAATCCCCTCCTTCCAATAAGCATTGGAACTATACATTCAAAGTCACAATTAGTAATAACTGAAGCAAGTAAAGAACCACTTGATTGATTGCTATGCATGTAGCAAAAACCTAAAGCAATGCTTTGTATAAGCTGGACAGAGCATGCTCATCAGGCTTGGGCCTAAGGCTAGCCTCTGACTTTCCTGACATGCCCCATGCTCTATAATCTGATTCAAGGGATCTTAATACCTTCTGGCAAGTCACATAAAGGAAGAAATCAAGCCAAGACGGGGGTGCACTTTAGAGACCCTGCCAATGACAGACTTTGAATCTACTTACCCACAAAGCTGCGTGATATGGAAGAAAGAGAACTCTGACCTGGGTTTGTGGATCTCCCTAGTGTTATGGCCCACTGTGGTGCTCTTATCGATCAAATCAGCAGCTTATCTTCCCTTGACTGGTAGCTAAATAAAAGACCTGGAAGGCAAATGGAGGTTGACTTGGTGAAGGAAGAAAAGAAACTGAATTATTCATGTCTATGTATACTATGTGCAAGGCTCTTGGGGAAGGTACAAATAAATCAGATGTATGTGCAGACTAGCTTTTTAAAGGAAATAGCTCATAGTTTTGTAGCAGACAGGGAGAGAGAAATCTTAAATTTTAGGTGGAAAATAATTGATTTGAGATCATCTCCAACTGTGAGAGAGAGCTCAGTAGTGAATTTCTTGATATTGAATCCCATCATAAAGCATTTGCCCAAGGTTTTGTGGGTTTTTTTTAAGTATCCTGAACCTAATTAGAACTTAGTGACATGTAAAGTGCATATTTCCCAATAAAATTCTTGTTCTCTCAAAAGGGCTTACTAGTGTTGGGAATATCCAGTAAAGCCCCTTTCATGTTAACAATTTTACAAATAAAAGTATCAAGTATAATTCTGTATCATATCATGAAACGGTTTGTTCTAGAGATTAATTGGTGGACAAGAAAAGCATCATAAGTAGTTACTTAAATTTTTTTGTGTGATGTTTAATAGAGGGTGGAGAAGATTATTGCAAGAAAGACTATCTGGTTGAAATTTCAGAATTCAAGATTTTTCTTGTTTCATACTATGTAAGCATGGTTTTTAAATTTTCAGCACAAACTCGACTATCAGAACTGCATGACGAAATAGAAAAGGCAGAACAACAAATTTTGAGAGCTACTGAAGAATTTAAACAACTGGAAGAAGCTATACAACTAAAAAAAGTATGTAAAAGCAAAGCAGCAGTGCTAAGGGGAAATGAAAAATGAAATGTGTTTTTTTTCTTCATAACCATATAAAACAATTTAAAAAAGCAGTTAGCTGCTTAATTATGGAATAATAAATTTCAGAGTCAAATATGGTTCTAGCATTTGCCAATTATATTTTTCTTCTATGTATGTTGATATCCAATTAGCATTTAATAACATGTTTAGAAATAAATTACTTAATTTTATGTAAAAAGATGTAGTCTTGAGAAGTCGCTTCCTGATGTATCTCTTCTAATTTAATTAAGCACTCTGCACACCTTTAAGATCCTGGGACTTAGAAAGAACATTGTCATCAAAAAAAAAAAAAAAAAAAAAAAAGATATGTGGTGTACAAAAAGATTGAAGATATGTGAACATATTCTCAAAAATTACCAAAGTGTGTTGTAAAATAGGCAAGTAAGCAGCTCAAATCCATGATGTAATTGCACAGGGGAAAAATTCAAAAAAAGGAAGTAGCTTGACATTTTAGTTTTTAGGTGTGTAAAATAGGTTTTAGTTATTTACAACTTTTAAAAGTATTTAAAAATTATGATGGTAACTACATACATACCACAGTAGGTAGAACAAAAATGTGAAGTCCAAATTGTAGATTATTTTCAAACATACACTGTAGTGTTACTTTCAGATTTTATAATAACTAAAAATTGATTCAAATTTATTGGAAGCTTATATATGTCAGTCACTGGGCTGGGCGCTGAGTAATGAACAAAATAGACATATGTCCCTCTCATGGCCAGACTTGTGGGGGAAATAAGACAATAAATATGCAAAAAGGAAAAAATAAAAGTTAAACAGCTACAGTGTTATAAGAAAAAAAATAGAAAATTAGGGGAGATGTTAAAAGAGGTATACTTTAGATTGTAGGGATTCATGAAGGCCTCTCTAAGCAGGTGACAGGCAAAGACACAAAGGATAAGAAGGAGCCAGTAAGGCAGAGCTGGTGGAAGGTATTCCACATAGAGGTGACAGTGTGTACAAAGGCCTTCATATTAGAGATTTCTCTGCAGAATGAGGGAGAGTGTAGAGGAAGATGAAGTTAAAAGAGTCATGAGGTTAAAGATCATGCCAGGCTTCATAGGCAATTTTTTTTTTTTGAGACCAAGACTTGACTTCCTGGGCTCAGGTAATTCTTCCACCTTTGTGCCTCCGGAATAGCTGGGACTACAGGTATGTGCCACCACGCTCAGCTAATTTTTTGTATTTTTTTGTAGAGACGAGGGTCTCACCATGTTGCCCAGGCTGGTCTTGAACTCCTAGGCTCAAGTGCTCTACCCTCCTTGGCCTCCCAAATTGTTCATAAGCTGTTTTAAGGAATTTGAATTTTATTTTGCCTGCAATGGGAAACCTTTGATAGTTGAGTGGCTGATCCTATTTGTCACTTTGCCCTACTTCACAAAGGGTGACATGGACTGAGTGAGATAGAAAGAATGGAGATGTGTGCATCTGTACCTGTCAGGAGGTTGTTGTTCAGTACAGGCAAGAGATGATACTGGTGCTAACCAGGAAGGTGCTGGTGGTTGTGGAGAGAAAGCCAGCTGATTCCAGGAAACACTGGACAGTCAAACTGACAGGAGTTAAAGATAGGTTGAAGATAAGAGATGAGATGGAGGGAGCTATCAAGATGGTTTTAATAATTTAAAAAGAATGTTTTATAATAGCACTGGCCAAAGCTTTACATAGATTGGTAGATGTAAATAATGTACATAATTTTAAAAGAAATGTATACTTTCAAAATATGCTTGGAAAATCGAGTTATTTAAATGCGTTAATATTAACAGTTAATAATCATTAATAAATAGTTAATAATAATAAATCATTAATAGCCTGAATGTTTATTTATACTATTCACTTACTTGACATGCTAACAAAGGTAAGCTTCAGCCGGGTTCTGATTCAGTTAAATAAAAATCTCAATTTAATGAGAGTTTGCTGTATTTTGAAATTCTATAATGTGAGATGATTTTCCAGTGAACATGGAATTCTAAAATTTTTTCCTGATCATAAAGGTATTGCAGTTATAGGGAATTACATAATTATTCTTATTTTTATTTCCTTTCAGTCTTTTATCTTCATGTTTTTTACACTTCTTTTTTT